AATCGGAGCCGGTATCTCTACTAATGTTCTCACAAGCCAGGGTACAGGCCGACGACTGCCGTGCTCACTCATAGAACGGTGAGGAAAATAACCTTTGGCAGAGTCACGACGAGCATTTGAGGACGGAAAACGGAGGTACAGTAAAGACAACGGCGCCGACTACGGGGGCTAATAACTTAAGTGGTTCCACATCGTTTTCCAAGCCCTGGTTAGAACACGCAAAGGAAAAAATGTCAGACATAATTGACAAGATGAGATTCGAGGGGGAGGGATCATGAAAAACATGAGACTGGCAGGGCTTTGCTTCTCCGGATTTCATCAGAGCAGGGCAAGGTACGGGTGCTGAGTGGACGGCAATTTCTGTGTTTATGTGGATAAATGGATAATCAAGGACACGAAAAAGAGAGTACTGAGCCTCAAAGCTCAAGTTTAAAGAAATTGGAATAACTAAAACAAGAAAGAGGCCAAAGAACCCCTATGTTGTCTTTAATCGAATGATAAATAGCCCATGCCTGTATTTGCTTCCATCTTTTGAATGACCTTGTTAGACACAACGTCTCGCTTTGCGACGATGTCGTGCTTTCCGGAACTCAAATTCGGCGCACAAGGCCCCGGCGAGTGCCCCACCGGAACCCGATATTATCCACTATTGGAGGCCCCTCTCTGGAGCTCCTCCGGTTGACGGGGCATTGTGGACGCTACATCTGTTGTTGAGGTCGTGATTGGGCTTCTGAGACTGAATTTGCAAGCTCTGCAAGTCTGAAAGAATCTGGTATTTTTGTTCAATGTGTTTTCATTTGTCCTGCTACCAAGTAATATGCTTGAAAGCTAAGGTACCTTACTCAGTTTGTCTACCTAGTATCAAGGGTAAACTCTTACGCGTCCACGAATCTGACCGGGCTCAATTTACATCAGGCGCTGTTATTGTTACAGTATAATCGGGACTTTTTGGTATTTTTTCCTTTATTTTCTACCGTTTTATATGGTCTTTACTTGTAGTCTGTATAAATTTCCTCCACGAAAACGCAGTGTCGAAGTGTTTCTCTGTTACTATAAACAACATAATAATAATTCACGCCAAAATTTCTAGCCCGTTGTTGCAATATGTTCTCGGGCTTTGTGCTAAGGTTGCGGATACTTGTGGGGCACTATCTCGACTGGTAGACGTAGCAATTTACAACAGGAACATCTGTCCGACAATAAGCATGGACATATGAGAATCTCGTCATTCCAATTTCGAATGTTTCTCTTGTTGCTCATAAGCAAAGCAGTACAGGCAGGTCTCTGACTCTCTAGATACAAATCACACCACTTGTCAACGGCCCGACCCTTTGAGGCCGAGAAAGGGGTACGGAGTTGGGGAATATCATGCAGCCATGTGAAATGCAAAGAGAACCCCCAGTAATCGGGATGATGTTGTCCCTTACTGGGTTCAGGGTCTGACAATCTTTGATATGTACATCTCTCTACTGTACAGAGTACGGAGTATGAACTGACTTGTCTCAATGTTCGTATCATCATTAACAGCACAGACTCTAGAGTCTGATTCCGCTCTTTTACTGTGTGCTGCAGTTATCAGTAAGAAGCAATGTCGTTGGAAAGAAGTGCGACTGATCCACGCACACTAGACCTGCATGCGCAGCCGTTTTGCTTGCTTTTGCTGAGATTGGATCCATTGCCATCATCTTGCGTCTCCCCCATGCCTAGGCACACGGTGAGTTGCATTATTATTATCATTTTGCGTCGTACGTAAGATACGGTCAGCAAAGTCCATGTGCTTGCAGCGCCATGGCCACAACAGATGCCTATCTTTAGATGCTTACCAACGCATCTCGTAAATGGGGTTCTCACAGGCAGACTCACCGAGATTCACTCTGGCCTGAAATTGACGGGAAATGAGTGTCTGACAGTGTGTGCTCAGAGCGCTGCCGTTTCCCCAACGGTTTACTGTAGGAGAAGTGGCATTACGTATCAGATACACCTCACTCTGCAACCCTAGAAACTTACTGCCATCAGTCATCTAGTGGAAATTTGTTCCAAAGAGGCAATACCTCATGCGCATCCCTCCCGTCATCCTCTGCCCAGGTTCCTATCAAGTTTTGTTGATTCCTCCTGATGGTGATACCTGATTTCACCTCAGATGAGCTCAAGTCACAAATCATTTCAACAAACCTCCTTGGGCTCAGATACTGTTTCATTTGCTATTCCGCATGCACGTCTTGGGCTCCGCCTCCCTGGGTCAGACGAAAACTAGGGAATGTCTCCCGACTTCAATAACTCAGTTTCTATCAAAAGTCTTCCGACTTTGCCCGAGTGGATGCCCTCACTAGCGCCCATCCAGCCCAGAAGCAATCCCGCGGGTCAGGCAGGAAGCGCTGAACCACCCCGGCCTCAGGCCGTTCCCGAAATGTGATCCACTGGCTCCCCAGCATCGCAGAGCCTAATTTCATGCATTTATCAGAGTTCAGCGTGTACTTTGCTGATGTACATGTGGATAGTGGAGATCGACAAATGGATCCAGCGGGGAAGGTGCAAGACAGGGGCATGCTCGGGTACGCCTAACCTCTAGAGGTTCAAGGTCTCGCGTGTCTCACCACGGAATCTCCAGGAAGGTGACCCCACTTCTCTCTCACCATGCCTGACCTTTTTTTTTTCCTTCTTCCCTTCACCTGAGTTCCACTCGGTCCCTGGCTAAAATTGAGTTAGGTTAATTGATTCCAAGGGGGTTTTCTCTTTGGGTCTGGAACTGGAAGCATTGGTAATCACTGAGTTACCATTGCTGTACCAAAAGCTGTCGATAGTTTCCCAACAGTATTCGCTACTACAACTCGTGACTTTCTTTCCCAACTCAATTTGAGTCATTCAGCTCACCCAAAATGAGACGATTGATAGAAAGTTAGCCTTGAATCGCTCAGACAGCCCGCCTATTGGGTGCCATGCCGTCACCCCGCATTCGTCTATCCTCTCCAGGATCTTGTTGACTTGTCTAGATCGGGGCTTTGTCAAAACGTCAACAAAATTTATGTTACTGAACTGAAACTCGATAACTCCCCAGCACAATAAGCATCCATGCATATGATGACACATATAATCACAAGTACAAGCCACGGCATCTGATGTCTGTGTTCTCGGACAAGTTTCGGCCTCTGCAGGATCGTGCCCTTACGTCCATCCAGATATGGTTGGTGTTACCCTGGAGCTTTTCGGCACTAGCAAGCATTCACCTTTGATGTTCACGGGCAACACTCCGCAACGCCGAATTACCTACTATGCTTTCCTAGCATACATGTTTCGCGGGACATATGTCGGTATCGCGGTATCTGGACCGTTGTGGCATATCAAGTCAGCTCCTCGATGGCCTAAGATCGACAAACTAAATTCCCATGCAGCAAGTAATGGCTAGCCTTGACGAAATGAACATGTCTAATAGAGTGCTAATACATGATGGTGGCTTCGAGTATTTTCGACGTTAACAAGCTCAACAATAGCTGGAAATCAGCCACTGGTATCAGAGATATCAACCACATCACATAAGCAAGTGCCTGGCTCTGGGTTACTTCGGCCTGGGAATCCGACATCTTTCTGTTGGGAACCACAGCCCCTGTTGATATGCCTGGTGTTTGAAGAGCAGCAATGTATTGGTTTCATATGCTCCCAAATCATAGATCGGCTTACCTCGGCCAAGCTGAAAACTGTCCTTGTCTGAACTAACTGGCCAGCGTAGGAGGTCATCGAAGCAAGCAAAAGAAAATTCTCGTCCCCGCATCAGGACTTACACCATCTCAGTAGGCTGGATTGCAAGAATAAACCGATAGTTCATGTGATGTTTAAGCCTTACTCCAACTTCAACCAAGTAGATCACTAGATTTTTGCCGAAGAAACATCAGGGTTGTTGGACGGCAAGACACCAGCCAGACTTGGATAGCTCGTTCACTGCACACCCCGAGCTTCTTTCGACATCAACCAATATGTTGACATCCATCATGTTCCGTTTCTCCGAACCTCCTCACACTCCCCGAGCTCCCTTTAGAACGAAGAGCTACCCCGCCACACATGCCTTTAACTCCAGGAACCAAGACATGGGCAAGTATTGCTCTAATGAGTAAAAACGAACGTCACTTGCAACCACATTCTTCACACCGGCTTCGCTTAACATAAACGAATACACCCCTCTCCGGATAGAGGATCTAGCAAGTTCAATTTAAACCCCAGAGAATGTCTGAGGCGTGTTCTTTTCATAAGTTAGCTCGTGCCGACCCCGTGCCCACTCACGGACAGGTACCGAGGGTGCGGCTCCGTGCTAAATATGTCTACTCCATAGAACTCCCTGACCTTGCCTTACCTGGAGAATCCAGTGCTACCATTGACGCAACATAACCGTCTGACATCTGGGGAAGTCCCGTTGCCGTTCGTCCTAGCTCCCATCTAGCTCTCTGGTGTGAACCCTCCGTTCCCCCAGATTATCCTACTCCACCAAACCTTGTCACTGACGCCACCTTATGACTCCTACAATGATTTGCCTACTTGTAATTACACGAATATTCCTTCATTGTCACAAGCCATCAGTGCCTGGAGAACTTACAAAAGAGTCACATTATCCCGATATCGGGCCGTCAGCTCTGCTCGTACCTTAAACTTAAGCTTGCTCGCAGCTTACACGTGGTCAACATATCCTCGGCATAAGATTTGATACATTTGTTTTGTTTGCTTGTGACTACATTGGATATTGATACACAGAAAAAAAAAATCTCGAATTACGCAAATAATTACAATATCAGCCATCGGGCTTAATTAGCTATAGAATGCTGTGATCGTTTTTAGCAACCTCCTTATGTCAAAATGTTGCTTGTTGGTGTCGTTTGCTTCCAAAACACCGTCAGTCATAAATCTCCAAAAATACATGAATGAAAGCAATGCATTTATGCCCTTTTTCTATATGCCGTAGGTGAGATCCCTGCCTCGTTCTCCAATCCACAATATTTCATCTTATGCCCGTCCACTCATTTGGCGTTCTCTTTACCTGCCTCGGTCACCTTCCGGGACGCCGTCTCGATCTTGCCCATAGCGTTGTCATCCTGGAGGCTCCACCAATGCCGTAGACCCTTGGCGTATTCGATCTCCTCTGGGGTAATTTCTATAGGTGGACCCTTGACCTGTGTAAGAATTTCTCGTTCGTTGTATTTCGAGACTGCCCAGGACGAGCCATCTTCGGAACGGACGCCGAAGCCACGGCCCTTCATTGACACTACCTTGACCCGGCGGAGGAGGATAACATCCCCACTCTCGACATCCGGTAGTGATGTTAGATGGGGCCGGAAAATATGGGCCACTCGGACCTGGGTTGGCGCGGTCGACGGATCGATCACACGCAAATCGAGCATGAAATCCCGAGGGCCGTGCTTCGGCCGGTGTGGAGGAGGCGGTGACTGTGTTACGACAGCAAGAATATCCGTCATCTTGTCGATTGAGTTTCTGCTGAGCATCTTAAGCGACAGAAAGTCGGGCAAATTCGTTCGCAGGCTTTTGACCAGCTGCATTTTCAGAGTTTTGACATCCTCTTCTTCAGGCACAGTCGCTGTAGAGCCAGCAATGGAGGGTGATTTAAGCGAGGCGAACGACATATTCGGGGACTCATCCTGCCTGTGGAAACTTCGCGACACCGAGCGAGTTTCACGCCTAGGGGTCTCTCGCTTTGGATCTGGCGTCTTTTGACTTCTAGTCTGGCGAGTCGATGGACTTGAACCTTTAACAAGTAATATGCTAGGGTCACTGTGGTCATTTCTCGAACGCAGCACTCGCTGGGATCCCGGTGAATTGTTGTCCACGCTGTGAATACTCTCATCGTCGGTTGCTTTTCTCTTCCCTTTGCTCTTTGTATCTGCCTGCACCGAGCCACCTGCCAATTGGATGCTGGGATCATCGTGGTGCATTTTACTTCGTGTCTTGCTGCTTGATGTAGCTGGACTGCTGGGCTTGCTTCCACGGTCTGCGGTCTTCAGGGTGGGTGTGGCTGTGATAAATGCCAGACTAGGATCGTCGTGGTCATTGCCACCTGATGATTTAGTTGGCCTGTGTCGCCGCGGCCGCAAAGACTTGGCGACAATGACCTCAGATGCTGCCTCGGTGTCTTGAAAAGATCCTATAAGTGACCTGTCGGCCGGTGCGGTGGGATCAGGCGATCCGGTTTGCGACAGTACCGTGGACAAAGCAGGATCCGTAGGCAGGTGTGTTTCGGATCGCATGGGAGACTGTTGTAGCATCTCAGCCATGATCTGACTCTCTGGTCCTTCATCCTCCTCCTCCGTTGTCTGTTGGGCATGAGTGACGATACTGACTGTGTCGACTGTCTCGACCTCGATCAACTGTTGTGTGCCGCCAGGAGTGGGAGGATGTTCGATAGAACTGTTACGTGAGAATTTGACGCTGTCTTCCCGCGGGGTCTGGACTTCTGGGCCCTGCGTTGGTGGAGGGGAAATTTGGCCACCATTTTCAGGCTGTGCCTCGTCGTCTGCCTTCTCAACTTCATCCTTGTCGGCTTGGAACAAGGCATTAGCCATGTGAGAAGCTGGGTTAGTTGCCATCTCTGACAAGGGGTCCGATATGTTTTCATGCGTTTCAGAGTGCTCAAGATCTTGGGATGTCTGAGATTCGATATTTTCCTGAATCTCGGAAGCCACAGATTGGGTCTCGCCAGACGACGGCACCGTCTTGCGGAAATTTGACGATCTCGCATCATCGTATAGGGTCTCTTGTGGCTGTTGGGATGGTTCTTGGGGGCGTGTTAATGCTTCGTAACGAATTTCCGTGGTCGCGGTGTCTCCTTGTTCGCTAGTATCAACGTTGGCCTCAGGAAGTTCTGCCGTTGGAGTAGGTCTGCGAGGTAATTCATCAATGTCCATGACTTCGACTGTCACTTCAGGCTCAACTGCGGTCTCGCCTAGCGGTTCTGTCTCAGCAGATTGAACAGAAGCAATGTCGTTTGTCTCGCACCCTTTTGCTTCCCCTTGCAATGGAGGAGCATTCCCCATGTCGATATCACATACTTCCGTTTCCATTGAATTTGATTCCTTTCCAGCGTCGTAACCACGGGGCTGCAATTCTTCTGCCATGGGAGACTCCCGCGGGGCAGTTGAAGGAACAGGCGACTTTGCTTTGTCTATGATCTCACGGCCCCCCTGCAGCTTGTTTGCACAAATCGTGGCCTCGGTAACTTCAGCTTCATTCTTGTTTGAGCCTTCAATATGAGATGCAGGGACCTGGCCCTCATTCATTGAACCCATTTGGCCGCCGTCAACCCTTTGTGTCTCTATTTCCTGCCCCCCCTCCTTTCTTGATGAAGACAGCGGTTCTTCGTCCGTATTGAGCCGCGGTAGACGCTGGCTTTCCTCTTCAGCCATAATCTCATCTGTTTTGGGGACTTCAGAATCTCCCTCTATCTTGGACATTGGTGATGTTTCCGCCTCTTCAATGCCAAGTTCCGAGTTGTCGTCTATATTTTTGGCCTCTGCACCCATTGTTGTCTCTGATGTTGGTTCTAGTTGTGGTTCTGGTGCGGGCGCTTCCTCATCTTCGGAATCTGAAAGCAGGTCGATGACAATGGGCTCCCTAGATACAAGAGTAGCAGAAGGGTGGTTGTCTGCTTCCTCTTCTGCGCCATCTTCATCATAATAATCATATTCGTCCGAGTCATATTCACCTTCCGCATCACCTTCCGACCCTTCGTACTCTTCCGCTTCAATGTCGGATCGTTGCTCGTACGTGTCAGGGTATTCGTCGTCAAGATATTCCTCTTGATTTACGACATCTTCGTCGCCATCCGCGTCATCTTCGTCGGGGTTCATGATTTGCGTATCAGGGTCATTGGTATCTAGATCGGGTTCCTCTTCAGATGTCTCTATTTCGTCATCGTCATCGTGCGTGCGGGAGTACTTCCTTAAGTCGTAATCATCGCCAGGCTCATCACCACCATCGCGATAATACTCTGCTTCACTGGCCGGTTCCTCGAGTGTGGGTTCTGGAGATGCGTTTGCGGTTGTGTTCATATCCGTGTTCTCTCGTGAGGGAGATAAATGGCGGTCTCTGCCAGACTCCGGCGACCCTTGTTCTCTTATTGGCGAAGAGCTCAAGATTTCAACTGGATTCTCAGCGTCGCTACTAGCAACTACAGAGCGGGGTCCAGGGGATGATTCTACCGCCCAAGCAGTCTGAGGCGGTTGTGAAGTCGCAGCGAATGTAGAGTGAAACGCTGATTCATGACCAGCGAGACCCGCAAGAGCTTCTACAGCATTCTGAGGGAGATTTTCGGTCTCCAGGAACTCAGCTGGATAATTTACTCCTCTTGAAACAAAACTGGGCGAATTTGTTACAATATTTCGAGAACTTTCTCCCGAAAAATAGCCCGCAGCCTGAGGAAAGAGTACGGCCTGTGGAGTGAAGCTGAAAGGCATATCCGTGTTCATGTTATTTGGTGTATGATCCAGTAAATACTCGTCTGTCCCCTGTGGCATCACCTGTGGTGTTGTCGAGTCTTCTGCGAGTGGTAAAGACTGGTTCATGAGAGAGTCGTCCCTTTCAAACGGTCTCGTTCGGGTAAATGGTGTCGGGGTCGTCTCTGTCAACCCAAACACTGGTCTTGATTCGGCCGAAACCTGCACACTGGACATTGGAGTAAAGTCAACATATACTGTTTGACTACCTTGATCTACCATCGCTGGCCGCGCTGGTGTGTTCGTGGTAGTATCTTCTGTCTCACCATTGCTCGGCGAGACACTACTCATATAGGACTCCTCTTTAGCTTCCTCTTCATGATCATTCTCAGGCTCAGGACTAGGGGACCGGCTAGTGTAACGCCAAGAGTTGGCAGGTAGACTGAACCGTGTGCGCTTTTTCGACTTGATCCTGCCAACTTCGTCATCTAGCATGTCTATGTCGCCTTCGAATAATGCCCCGTAAGAGACACGCGCTCGTTTGAGGAAAGCAGGCGAAGCGAATTCAAGAGGATCCAAGGTCGATGGAGCAGCTCGTTTCAGAGGCAAGGTGGCTCCTGGAGATAAAGACGTAGGCGTAGCAGGTCGCTCGGGCACGGGTGTGAGGGTGTCGACTTGGTCAGTATTATCAATTTGGCCATTAGTGGTAGTAACTCCCGTCTCCACGTCTGGGGTGTCGATGTTGAGCAAGGTGTCTCTTTCTTCCCCGGGTCGATGGATTCCAAGTACCAAGCGATTCGAGAATTCGAGCTGCCATGCAAGAGTGCTTCCTGCGACTTGAGTCTGCGTCTCGTTCTTCTCCCATTTAACACCCTGCAGGCTCACACGAACCTCATCCCCAGCTCCTAGCGATGAATCTGCGATCGCCCTAGCGGCTGCACCATGGAAACGGATCCGCACCTGGCCATTCTCGCGTCGTAGCCGAAAGTCTCGCTCAGCTAAAAGAAATGCGATCGATTTGTTGATGATACTAAATGGCCATGTGATAGTTACGGTGCCAATTATGACTCGCGCATCTTGTCTTGGGACATCCGGACTGAGCTGGGCGATTGATATAGGCTCGCCCTGGTCGAGTAGTGATGTTGTGGGTTGCGAGCCGTTCATCGTGGTTTGGTCGCAATGTCAGTCGCGTCGGCGGGACCTGAAAAGCCAGAGGGACCGTGTTGCTGTATTAAATCATGTGCGACAGTTTTTGTTGTTATTTCTATGATTTTATGGTTATCGCATCCCGTATGTCGCTCCCGTTGGTCAAGGTGCTATTAACCGCGTTCGAAGCGCTGATTTGCTCGTGGAGTGAATTGTTGTTGGAACAGTGAAATCGATATGCAAGCTTCCGAGGAAGCTGTGGTGGGGATATGTCCGAAAGTAGAAGGCGGTGAAGGGATTGTGGTCTAGCCTAGGGGAGGAAAGAAAATTCAAAGACCTTGACCCTAGGTGATAAAAGTATTTAGGCAAATTTGGCCTAAGCTTAGGGGACTCTTAGCCAAGTTTATTTTGACACCTCATATCAAGGTTCGGTGTTTTCTTGCCCCCCTGAGGCTAGCCTACCTTATCAGTCTATCAGTGATCACTGAGGTGCTGTTGAAAATCGCCGGGTTTTAGACGGCGGTTCTTATGCGGCTCTGGGGCCGACAACAAGCCAGTACTTCCAATGGGAAAGCACCGAACTACTGTGACTTAACAGAAGCAGTAAAAAGAGTCGGGACAAAGTCGAAATGGCTCCTAACCCCCCACTCAGGTTTAGGCGTATCTTGATGGCAAGGGAAAGCGGATGACTCTTTCCCGGGCTTGTCCATAGAAGAATTTGATTACCTAGGCAACTTGTTGATTTGCTGGTTTATCTTTTCTGCTTCACAACTTCACACCAGTGAAGAATCGGTTCATGCTTAGGACGGGAGGCTTTCTTATTAGTTGCTTCATTTCTTACAGCACAATATGGGCTCTCTGACTCAGCCGACGCCTTTCGATGTCCACAAAATCGCAATCATCGGGGCCGGTCCTACTGGACTTGCGGCAGCGAAATATCTCATTGCAAAGGGTTTTGAAGACATTGCCATCTTCGAGCAGCAGGACCATGTTGGCGGCATTTGGCGATACTATGGGTTAGCCCCAGGAACTTGTCCTGTGCCTCAAGAAGATCCTCATTGCCCTCCTGAAAACCCTATAAGATGGAATTCCACTTCACCTCCGATTTTCACTTCGCCGATGTACGAGAACCTACACGCCAATATCCCAAAAGAAGTCATGAGTTTTTCCGACCAAGCCTTTCCCGAGGACTCCAAGCTCTTCCCCGAGAGGCCTATGATCGAGGACTATCTGGTCAAGTATGCAGAGGATGTCGAACCCCTAATTCGTTTTTGTCGACGCGTCGAGCGGGTGAATCTGAAAGTGCGAGATGGTCGGGACAGATGGGAGGTTGAAACACAATCAACTATCAAGAGTGGCGACATAACTACGGATACCTTTGATGCCTTGGTCGTTGCGAACGGTCACTACTCTATACCCTATCTGCCCAATATGAAGAACTTGAAAGAGTTTAACGAGGCCTACCCCGGAGTGATTACGCACTCCAAACAGTATCGCACTCCATATCCGTTTAGAGACAGCAAGGTAGTTGTGATTGGTAATGGCCCGTCTGGGCTCGACATTGCTTGGCAGATCAACCAGGAGTGTATAAAGCCTGCTATCTTGTCTATCCGACATCCTACACCCCCAGATCGACTAGCTCACTCTGGGTGTACGGAAACAGCAGAGGTTGAGGAGTTCTTGGTTGAGGAGAAGGGAATCCGTTTCAAGGATGGCCGAGTTGAGACGGATGTTGATGCCATCATCTTCTGCACCGGCTTCCTCTTTAGCTTCCCATTTCTTGGGGATCTAGGCCACCAGCTCATTACCACAGGCCGAGGCGTGCATGGATTGTACCAGCATATTTTTAATATCCAGCATCCAACCCTCGTTTTCCCAGGTCTCAACATGAAAGCAGCCCCTTGGCCATTGAGTGAGAGCCAAGCAGCTCTGTTTTCAGCTGTGTGGTCCAACGACATTGAGCTCCCTTCTCGAGAAGCAATGGAAGCTTGGAGCCAGGCATTGGAGAAGCAGGAAGACGACGCTTTACATGTGTTTGGTCCCAACGGAGATGGCCATTACATCAACAAATTGCACGACTGGGTTATGAAGGCCAAACGACCAGGAAAAGAGCCGCCTTACTGGAATGACGAACTTATGTGGCAGCGCAGCATGTTCCTCAAAGCCAAGGCCAAATTCGAACAACTGGGCTGCAAGGCTCAGACCTTTGAAGAGATTGGATTTCACTTTGAGCCTGGAGCTCAACTTGATGTGGAGAAGGGGGGAGAAGAGCTCTGATTAAGACTGAAAGACGAGGTATTACGGAAATTCGCAATACAGTTTCGCCATTAGTCTAGGACTTTGCGATTCAATGTCGCCTTGACCCCAGACGATGTGATAGGATGCTTAGGACAGGGGCTTGAGACTGTCAAGCAAACCGTTGGTGGTGGTTCCCACTCACTCCATGTCCGATTCGGCAAACTATGGGGTCTTTTGGGATGGTGCGAGTGCAATGATGTTGTGATGGTGGGTTAGAATGGCGGGAGTCGGGGTTGGATTTGTAATGCAGCTCGAAGGACCATGGAGCCAACGTTTGGGGGCAATTCGGCCATCGGGAATGCGATTGAACAGGTCCGGTCCAACCCAGACAGGGCAATAGTTGGATTGCCTTATCATTAGAACATCCGGTTAGAGATACGCGAAGAAAGGTCAAGGGTACTTGAAGAGGGGAAAAGAACATCCATTTTATCTGCTTGTGTTCTTTCATTCTTACATATTGATTGCCTTTACGCCCTCCAAGATCTTGCCTGAAAACATAACAATTTTTGAAAAGTCAACTGTTCTTGATATTGGCAATGGCACCATCCGCAACTCATGCTACGGCCCCGGCTTCGCCAGCTGCGACGGCTCTCCAAGCTCTACCTCCACCCAAAGACCTGTCGCACCTGTTCTCGAGAGTGACTAGAAATCGCAAGCCGAGCAATATCAAGGCCTTTTACAAATTCATGCAGATTCCGGGTATCAGCAATTTTGCTGGAGGTGAGTAGGATTTGGTCCGTGATCGACAATCCCGGCACCGAGGCACCGAAACTTTGATTTTTAGTCTCCGTCTTACACGTCCGTACTAACACGGCCGGTAGGAATGCCCAATGTCAAATATTTCCCCTTCGATACCTTGGAAGCTCAGATATCCAACGCGGACCGTTGGGAGCCTTCACCGAATTACCCCGACAAGGCATCAATTGAGTCTCTGTCAGGTAGTCTTATTGGATACAGCAACAGTCCAGACAAAAACGCCCCGAGAAATCCAGACTACAACAAAACTTCGTCTAGGATCTCTATACCAAAGATTCTAAACGAACCAGACATCACTAAGAAGGTTGACCTTGCCACTGCCCTTCAGTATGGACAGGTGACTGGCTACCCGCCACTGCACTCTTTCATTAGACAATTCACGAACCAAGTACTTCACCCAAACGTTCCATACCAAGGTGGCGCGGATGTCATCCTTAACAATGGCGGCACGGATGGGTTCTCAAAGGTCCTTCAGCTCCTGGTTGACCCCTGGTATGAGGGGTTACATCCCGTGGAAGAGCGGCCGGGCATGCTCTGTGAGACCTTTGTGTTTGGCAACATCCTTACTCAAGCTCGGCCTCTTGGAGTCAACGTTGTTCCAGTTGAGATTGACGAAGAAGGTATGATAGTCGAAGGATCTGGTGGTCTGCGAGAGGTGCTCGAGAACTGGAATACTCAAAACGGACGACTGCCACATTTCTTATACACGGTAACGTGAGTAATTTGGCTTAACTAAGAACCCGCGTGTATACTGACTGCTGAATACAGCATGGGAGATAACCCTACCAGTGGTGTTGTAGGCGTTAAGAGACGAAAGGAGATCTACGCGCTGGCAAGCAAGTACGACATCATCATTGTTGAAGATGATCCGTATTGGTATTTGCAGTTCCCTTCCGCTGCGATACACGAAGCCAAAGCTAGGGGCTATGCTATTCCCTCAGTGACCGATTCACACAAGACAGTCAAGTCATCTGGCTACGACTTTATAGATTCGCTTGTTCCATCATATCTTAGCATTGATGTTGACGGCCGTGTCATTCGCCTCGATACCTTTTCCAAGACAGTTGCTCCTGGTTCCCGATTGGGTTATGTCACTGCACAACCTGCAATCATCGAACGTCTTACTAGGTATGCTACTCTGTATCTCAGTAATCAATATCGTAAAGGCTGACTTTTGATGAATAGGATCGCAGAGACCAGCACTGGCCAGCCCTCGGGTTTCGTCCAAGCACTCATTGCTCAAGCCATTCTAGGCCCTCACTCATCAGCTCTTGAGACATTCTCCTCTCTCCCGGAAGCAGAGAAGCACTCTTTTACTGGCTGGCAGCTTGATGGTTGGGTGCGATGGCTCGAGGGACTTCGTGGCGAGTATGAGCGTCGCATGACCCGAATGTGCTCTATCCTCGAGAAGAATGCATTTGCTCCGAGGCAGTCAGCGTCCCAAGACACAGACTTGGACCGGGACGTCATTAGCAAGATACGCCTGTTCGATTTCGACTGGCCCCGTGGAGGGATGTTTGTCTGGGTGCGTGTCCACTTCGAGAAGCACCCTCTCTACCAGTCCAGAGGAGGTGACATTGCCCCTGTCATTGATGGCACCGCACTGGCGAATGCATTCTTGATCCATAGTACACATGCACCTCATCTGGTGCTGGGCAGCCCTGGTAGCATGTTCAGTGCCACGCCTGAGATTCGAGAAAAGCGTGGCTGGCAGTTTATACGACTGTGCTTTGCAGCAGAGAGTGACGAGAATATTGACGACGGCTCAGGCAGATTCGCGCGATCTGTGGGTGAATTCTTCAAGATTAACGATCCGGTACAGATTGAGAAGCTACTCGAAGAGTTGCCCAGCTAGAGTAAATAAATGAACAGAGTTACTACATGATGAGCATTGGACAAGAAAATAGCCCGTGCTGCCAACATAAGAGATAGTCACTGTACAGGACAGCCTCGATGCCATATATGTGTATGGTATCAATCATGAAAAAGAAAAACAATTGCTATTACGACAATCACGCTGAAAGCAAACGTAGCAAGCTAAGATCACAGTTACGGTAAATAAGCATCAAGTTGTGGAACCAATGCCGAGTCAGGCTGTAATTCGTATCATATCTCTGATTCATTTTTTAATAGAGCTCAACCGTCAAAGAAGCCGTTACGCCTCAATATCAAACCATGCAAGACCCGTCATCTAGTTCCGTCTTAACCCGCTGCACACCCAGCAAGTCGAGAATTATTTTAGTTCTGCTTCTTCTGAGCCTCCTGGGCAAACACGGAGGCATAAGGGTTCAGGCGAAGCATGACCTGCTTGTTCTTAAGAGGGTTCTTCTTCTGGACAGCAGATCGGCGGGTGACAGCATCGCCCTTGGGAGCGTTGAGAGAGCTCTGGATTTCAGAGCTGTTGATCAGACGAGTAAGATCGGCCTGAGAGACAACGTTGGAGGGGAGGAGGAAGTCACGCTTGTGGGCAGAGGCCTCAGTGGTGGAACCGTAGATCTCGTCAAGGGCCTTGAAGGCAGCAGAGGTCCAGACGATGAAGCGGCCGAGGTGACCACCAGGGGCGAGCTGGAGGAGGTTGAGAGCGGTGACGGGGGAGGTCTCGACACCAGTGATGTTGCGGAAAGCAGTGACGAGCTCCTTGCCATCAGTCTCGGGGTCGTAGATGACAAGAGGGCCACGTCGCTGGCGGTGGCGTCGGCCACGGAGCTTGCCCTTACCAGCACGGAGCTTCTTGGAGCCCTTGACCTTCTCGATATCGGGACCAGCACCAACAGCCTTCAGGAGACCGAAAGCAGCAGCGGTCTTAGCAATGGCAGCACCCTCGAAGACGGCGGAGTCGACAACCAGAGGAACCTCAGGGACGGAGTTGACCTGGTGGCCACGGGCCTGGAGCAGGGGAACGGCAGCGGAGGCAGCGAGAGCAGAGACGACGGCGTATCGCCTGGTTTTGTACGTTAGCCTTGAAATTACGAGCCTCGTGGTCGGAAAAGGACTTACTTCTGACCCTGGTTGACCTTGATGTGCCACTTGCGCCAGATCTTGGTAGGGGCGAACATGCGACCGGAACGACACATGTTACCGAAGGCAGCCTGACCAGCACGGTGAGTACCACCACCAGAAACACGGGGAATACGGGCGACAGCACGACCTGTTTGCAATGTGGTTAGCCTGTTGTTCTGCTCATCGCCGTGCAATCCCATAGCATTTTTCGTCTCTCCCTCGCCCAACTCCGTGGTTTTCTCCCCGCCCACAGAAAATTTCCCCTCTAGAACCATAAATCTGGGTAAAAAAACATCGTGTACTAACCAGTTCCCCAAGACTCGGCAGAGGTCTGGTGACCGGCCTTCTCGCTCACAGCATAAGGCTGTCGCTTGTTCTTAGCGATACCGGTGTGAACCTGCTGGACAATGTCCGGTCGGATCGGGCTGGTGAAGACGGCGGGAATGGCGTGGGTAGCTCCAGTGGGAGCACCATCTTTGCCGATGATAGAGACGGTAGGTCGCGAAGCCATTGCGAAGGTTGAGACTTGGACCTGTTGATGATGCTTGAGTCAGTATGGAAAAGGTCCAGATCAATTGCAACAACTGGCGTTGAGCTCTTACCTCGGGTCGTGCGGCGTCGAAATTGGTGATGGAGTGGGAGGTTGCGAGGCTCACGAAATTTCAGTTAGGATATTTTGGTTTGGTGGGCGGAGAGACCCTAAGTCTGTCCCACTTTTACGTAGCGAGTTTGCACCCACTAAATGACAGTGCGAGTAGCACTACTCGCACTCATCCGGAGGGATCACCGTGGCTTACAATGAAGGCACTATCGCTTGGATTAACGGTTAGTAGGTACTGAGGTAGAGACAACATAGACAATGTTTATATAATGTTCGTGTCATTCTCATAAAGGCTCACTTGAGTCGCTCCGTATTAGCATAAGTACATGTCATCATTATGTCCTTCTAAATACTCCAAGATACAGATATCCCACCATATTGTGTCCCTCTTGTCGTATCTCATCATTCCCACCTCTTCCATTCTTGAATATACTTATCTACCTGTTCCTCAACCCAATCCTCGTCTTCATGTTTAGATCTATCCAGCTTGGCCAGTTTTTCGTGAATCATGGCTTCGACGTCCATCCTCTCAAGTACCTTGGCTTCTAAGTATTTGGGGTCATTCCACCGGCATGCCTTTCTGAAAATCTCTCTCATTCGATTAGAGTAGAGCTGGCAGGTTGCGAGTGGCAGCTTTTGTGGCTTCATATAAAAGTTGCGAGCGATGACATTGTCGTCTTTTATCAATGGCCTGACAACCTCATCGAAGCATTCACCACAGACAGAAAACTGTCGAAGGTATTGCATGGTATGCCAGTATCCGTTGGTGATTGGCTTGTCCTCTTGACACTCGCTCACTGCGGCCATCTTCTCAACTTCTTGTGCAAGAGTGCCAAGGTCTGGCTCTTCCTGTTCCAGTCGAGCTTGATCTGAAGTGGTTTCCATGGCGTCAAAGTACATGACGAAACGCTTTCTTTTTGGCTTGAAACGCATAGCGCAAAGCCCTCTGGTAGGTTCTGAGCGGGAGTCTAGAGGAATGAAAATGCCAGTCAGATTAGGGAACAGTGCCTGGATAACTTGAGCGCATTGGGGACATATGGTAAAATCATATACAGGCTGTCGAGAGTGTGGGTTCCAGAGCGTCAGCCAATTACGGGTGGTGACTCTATCACCAGGGCACGGGAGGCTGTAAGTGGTGGATATGGCTTTGGCAACCTCATGGAAGAGTCGTAGATCCGGCAATTCGTTTTTCAAGGTGAGGAGCCAAGCAATGCGATACCATGGTCCAACGCCAAAATCGCATGCAATCGCTTGAGCCGTGGGGCGAAGCATCGGTTGGAATGGCTTTCGGTATTCGGTTTTGGCGAAGACGGAGTCATAACAATCAGGACAAATGTTGAACTCTGTACGAGGCAGTGTAAGCCAATCCACCCAACCTGCAACAGGGTGCTTGCGGCGGCATTCGGGGAACGTGGTTACACCTGTTGCTTCTTGATGCTCCGAATGACGCCTAACAGACCCCACCGGTTTCTCAAGGCGAACGCCATCTCGATTGGGGTCAAATGTTGGAGGTTGCCATGATTGCGAAGAAGCCGGAGAGCGAGTGGCAGATGAAATAACTGATGCTGGCCTGGCTTCGAGTGGTATTTCGGGGCCGATGGCAATAGGTGTTGGCATCTCGGGCATTGATATAATTGGGTCTGGTTCGTATTGGGATCGTGGCCTACCAATCCTTTCAGACTTGCCGCGAGTATCGAAGGGGTCGATCAAAGTGTCCTCATCCACGGGATATGGAAGCTCATTTTTAGGCCTCTCCGGAAGAACATGCTTATCTCGAGCAACTGGAAACGTTGACGCAGGTCGTAAGTTTTGAGTAAAATCATCTGAGACTGCCGAACCCGTGGGGATAACGACTGGAATAGGCATCGTAGCTCCTCCTGGTCTCAATCGGGGACCACTTGGTGCATCAACCTTTTCCAGCTTTGGCTGAGATTCGCGTTCATCCTGCAAGACGACTGACTTCTTACGTCTTGGATGCAATTCCCGTGGGCCCTTTGGATGATCGTCACCAGATCGATTGTCGTCGCCTCGATCATCACGACGGTCATCACGTCTTATTGTTGGTTCCCGTGTTGGCTCACGAGGAGGGTATGTCGATGATCTTCCATAATCTTCACGATCAGTCCTCCCAAAGGAAGGAGATCTATCTTTCTTGGTACTTCTTGGTAAGTAATCGCCTCGGTAAGAGGATTCAGTTCCAACTCTTTCTTTTGAAAGCGGACGGACAGCTTGCTCATCACGATCCTTGGAAAGAGGGCGAGCTGTTGCATCTCCAACCCGCTCTTTTGAGAGGGGGCGTGTCGGTTTCTCAGTCTCGATATTCGTACGCTTTGAGGTGGAAGCGGTTGAAGAAGTACGAGTGTGACCATTATCATATCGTCGCTCATTGGGGGCGCTTGATACATGCCCTGGTCGAGTAGGAGACCTACGGGAAGCACTCTGAGACTGTCCATAGTACGCTTGATCCCGTCCGCTTGCGCTACTTTTAATAACCTCAGGTGCGAGCTGGGGATCAAGAGGAATCTTTGGGGGTCGTGCAGGGGGCTGGTCATGTCGTCCACTGGCCGGGGCTGAAGGACGAGTACGGTATTTTTCGGGGAGTTGGTCGTCTCTAAATTCGGTTTCGAGTCGAGGTAGATCCTGCCGACTCCGTCTCTTTTCCAACGGTGGTCGACTACGCTCCCTGTTCGTTGTTACATCAGCCTTGAGACTACTATCGTATCTCCGGCTGGATCTTGTGTCTGTGTATGCATCACCCGATGGCCGATCTTGTCGTTCTGTGCGCTCATTCCTCTGGGCTTTCTCGAACCGGTCAGTACGAGGAGTTTTTGTTTCGTTCCTCATTTCAGGTTCATATCTTCGCTCAGGTTCAGGTCTTCGTTCAGGTTCAGGTCTCCTGCTTGGCTCTTTGCGTCGGTCCTCTTCTCTTCTTCTCTCAGTCTCACGTCTCCTGTCCGACCCAACCCTCGCTTCTGCTTCACCACCCTCTGAGCCGCTTGAGGATCCTGTCAGAATGACAAAGCGCCGCTCAGGGTTATATTCATGAACTTCCATTATCATAGGGTTCTGTTCAATATCTCCACGAGATGGAGGCTCTTCTTCCTGATACTTTGCGAGGCACACGCCATGCTCTCGCTTGAGAGAAACTTCCTCATCTTCCACAGATGGGGGCGGCGGTCTAACTCTTGGTACTCGTGCGGGCGCGGCGGACCGTGGTCGTGGTATTAAAGGGTAGTACGGTAGCTGGTATGGTGGTTGCTGCGACGGTGGGGGTTGAGAGGAGGGACGATCATCTAACTTTGGCGATGATGGACTGTTTTTCTGTGTAAGTGGTAGTTCTCTTATAAGATCTCGGTGACCATACGGCTTCGGACTCTTGGCTCGAGAAGTTGTGAAGTAACCCGCCTGGAGGAGGTTCTGTATGTCAAACGATTCGCCCATGATGCAAGCGTCTATATGTCTGATCGGCACGAAATCATGATACACTATCGAGGGAACAGGACCAGCAAATGCGACCACGGATCATAAAACGAAGGACAGCCAAGTAAATATGCTCAGATCGAGTCGCAGTTCGGGCAGTTTGCTGGTGTTTGTTTTCTATTGTCGCACAGGCCTGCTGGAGACGGTAAGGCTAGATTGTTATTGGTGCAGGCGATCCAAAATAGTTCGCAGTCCAGGTCTATCACCCGTTGAGGAACGTTCTAAGTGAATGCGGAAGTCGAAACTATAAGCTCAAGCCTGGTAGCTTAAACAAAAATGCAGAAAAAAGACACGATCTACTTCGTGGGTTATAGTTTTGGTCTCAAGGCGGCGACGTCAGAAGGAACGAGAAGGTGTCGGAGATGCCTTGGGGCGCAGTTTGGGTCCAAATCGAAGTACGAAGCCAGATGACATAGCACTATCAGTTGAAGTACTTGAAAATTGGCTGTAGGGTCTCGCAAATCGAAGTACCTCTTGGTGGGCAGCTGGGCATCTACCCTGCCACCCCTCTCCAATACCCCCGCCAGGTTGCCCCTCCTACGTTTCGATTTGCACGCCATTAAAGCCAGAGCCACCTTAAAAATCACCGATTTGCTCAAGGGTAACGTATCACCACAAGTTGGATCATGGATATCATGTCTCGGTAACCCGACACAGAACTTTATGCAGCATCGAACGGTTGTACATAGTAATACAGCAGGCGGATCTTTACATGCCTCCAGATTAGGTGCTTCAAATAACCTCTAGTGGTAATCCCAAGACATGATATCACTTCTGCTCACTACCTAGCTCCCTGACACTGGAGGGATTGCCAGTAATATCAATAGATAACAATGCCTCTCATTCGTTCGTGTGGAATAATCGCGGCTATGCTCAGAGCTAACGCCCACGCCCAGCACTTATTCTCATGTCTTATAGGGCTATCAAAATCTGGTCAAAGGTGGCCTACCCAGTGCCTGATGGTCACGATATGAATACATAATGCTGTCGCTAGTTGTAGGTGCCAGAAATACTTGCAAGCCCACACGTAAAAACAATTTATCATTATATTCCTTGTGTCAGATTATCAAGTTTGTCTTAATGCTTTCTTACATGTGTACTTTCAGCGATACAATGCTGAACTACTCGACCAGGCAGTCGTGGGTGGGTAGGTATGCCTGTTCCCTGGTCAACGTGAAACGTATTTGGTGGGAAGCTCTGGTTGCATTTCATGATTTATTGAATCAGCATGGGCATCCTACGTCAACTCCATAATCTTCATGGCCCCAAACAACGGCGACACTATACATATGTAATATTATTATGCTTCAGACTACTTCTTTCTTCCGTTTTCTTAGATTATCAACCGGTCTGGTGGGATTCATTCAGATCAGAAGAACCAGCCTCACTGGGAAAACCAGCTTAAACCCGCATTTTTACAAGAAACCGAAGTGGAGGTGTCCAAGTTTTCAAACAAGTCAGTGGCCAGTCCAGGAGACGTGCTTGCAGCTCGTGATGTGACCCTCCTGTCACTTTCGATCAGCCAAATCAGAAACTCCCCACCAATGCGCCCAAAGAAGCCAAGATGACGAGACTCTAGTCCTCTAGAAGATCAGCAATGTCCTTATCGTCCTCCTCTTCTTCCCTCCTTCGTTCCTCAGCTTCGAGAAGATCCTTCAGCATAGTCCTCTGCCTCACTCTAGCCTTCTGGCCCCAATCGGCACCAGTGCCATCGCCCTCCTCGTCAATCTCAGGCTCATCCTCAACTAGTCCACGTAGCTCATTGGGAAAAATTTGTGCCTTGAGTTTTTCGCGGGCATCTTCATCCTCCATCTTTTGGACAGCCCCTTTAGTAACGAACTTGAGGAACAAGGGGCGCAGCAGCATGTAGCCACCGACAATGACGGTCAGACGGAGCCATGCTTTTGTGTCCATGCTGTCGAAGGCGTTTGAAATGTTGTTGGATGCATTTGCTCCATACTGCAGGAACTGAGCAGTGAGTTTTCCGAAGGCATTGAGTTCAGGTTGCTCGCCCTGGAGTTGCTGTTGTTGAGCAACAGGATCCATTTTTGAGTGCTTTCAGTTACTTTAGAAATGGGCTACGGGTTCGTGAATGAACCTGCTTAGGAGGTTGCTGTTGTCGCTGTTGAAGGTTTGAAGAGACGGTCGCGTTTAAACCAGGTGAGTTTAGTAATCGTATTCGTGAAGATGTCCAGGTGTTGTAGTTTAAAACGACGGAAACAATAGTTCCAGGATCCTATAAGGAGTAGTGCTCGATTCAAGGAGGAGAGAGAAAGATGTCAAAGCTTGTGAGTTGAGGTGCTGCGGTTGAGATTTTTATATGGCGCGCGACTTGGGAGGTTCCTTTTAGTTGGCCTTCTCCGATGGACCCGTCTCACTGGTCAAATTCTGGAACCCGCAAATAAGATGAGGGTACAGGATACTTATACGGTGTTATGCTATCGTTGAAGGCATATGATTGGCAGTGCTTCGCGAAATGCGTTGGTAGAAACGTCCCGATAGCTTCAGATATGCTACAGTACTTCAGATCCTACGGATTTCGAGAATTATTTAGAAATTCCGTGAGGGCATGGAAACATAGTAGGCTAAGTACTATAGTCCCGAGTCGTTGATACATTGTATAGGTAATCTGGCAGCCAGAAAAGCACGATTTCCCATCCAAAAGGTCAATTGACACCAATATAAAGAAGTGCAACTCATACGCTTTTGAGATTATGAAGCTCTTCAGCTGCTCCGTGCAAAACACCATTCATGCCTTGTATATAGTAGTAAGTAGGTCATAAGTACAGGATCTTGATGGAACCTCAGCTTCATCAACTCCACGTGATCTACCTGTTGTATTTCCTTGTGGTCTGAGTGGGCGTAAAACTGGCGGGCTGGCTCCACCATATCCATTCCCGAACAGACAGTCGCCTTTAGAGCGAGACAAGAGGCCTGGCTTGATAGCTCGAGAAATTTTCGAGGCCTCATTATAGCCGTTTCCCATCTCCATCTCCGCCTTCACCGTGCACCAGGACAGCACCATCGTGTGTTTCTCGCCTCTGTTCCCTTTTCTCTCAGCTTTATCTCGTCTTTAATTGTCATTTATACTAACTAGAGGGAGCCGCCACAATGTCGACCGCTTTCCGATCCCTTGCGCCTTTCCTGCGCACCGCCCGACAAGGTCTACGGGCTAACCCCATCAACCCTCTTCAGTCCGCCTTTGGCAAGCAGAACACCTCCGGTGTCCTCAACCTTTACCGCACATATGCTGTTTTTGAGCGATCAAAGCCTCATGTGAACATCGGTACAATTGGTCACGTCGATCACGGCAAGGTATGACTGCGTCCTCTATTCTATAAACCCCTCCTCTCTCTTTCTCTCCCAAGACCCAACTGACTCTTTACCATAGACCACTCTTTCTGCTGCCATCACAAAGCGACAGGCTGATAAGGGCCTCGCCAACTTCCTCGAGTATGGTGCCATTGACAAGGCTCCCGAGGAGCGAAAGCGTGGTATTACCATCTCGACCGCACACATCGAGTACGCCACCGACAACCGCCACTACTCCCACGTCGATTGCCCTGGTCACGCCGATTACATCAAGAACATGATTACTGGTGCAGCCAACATGGACGGTGCTATCATCGTTGTTGCTGCTTCCGATGGACAGATGCCTCAGACCCGTGAACACTTGCTCCTCGCTCGTCAGGTTGGTGTCCAGCGAATTGTTGTCTTTGTCAACAAGGTCGATGCCATTGATGACCCCGAGATGCTCGAGCTCGTCGAGATGGAGATGCGCGAGCTTCTCAACACCTACGGCTTCGAAGGCGACGACACTCCCGTCATCATGGGCTCTGCTCTCATGTCTCTCCAGAACCAGCGCCCTGAGATTGGTACCGAGAAGATTGATGAACTTCTTGCTGCCGTCGACGAGTGGATCCCCACCCCTGAGCGTGACCTTGACAAGCCCTTCCTTATGTCCGTCGAGGATGTCTTCTCCATTGCTGGCCGCGGTACCGTCGTGTCTGGCCGTGTGGAGCGTGGTGTTCTGAAGCGTGATCAGGAGATCGAGCTTGTCGGAAAGGGCCAGGAGGTTATCAAGACCAAGGTTACCGACATCGAGACCTTCAAGAAGTCTTGTGAGCAGTCCCAGGCTGGTGACAACTCTGGTCTCCTCATCCGAGGTGTTCGCCGTGAGGATGTCCGCCGTGGTATGGTCGTCTGCGCTCCTGGCACCGTGAAGTCTCACACCCAGTTTCTCGCTTCCCTCTACGTCCTCTCCAAGGAGGAGGGTGGCCGACACACCGGTTTCCAGGAGCACTACCGACCCCAGCTTTACCTTCGAACTGCAGATGAGTCCATTGACCTGACTTTCCCCGAGGGTACTGAGGATGCTTCTAGCAAGATGGTCATGCCTGGTGACAACACCGAGATGGTTGTCACCATGGGTCACCCCAATGCTATCGAGGTTGGTCAGCGATTTAACATCCGTGAGGGTGGCCGAACTGTCGCTACTGGTCTCTGCACTCGCATCCTCAAATAAGCGGCGTTTTAGACAAGAAATGAAAAGGTTAACGGGGACGGTGTACGAATTATTACGCTTATGTACAATCATGCAATGTCTTTCTTTGAGTCCATTTTGGCTCCTGTATATTTATTTAGCTGGCCTAGGGGCTCAAAGATCTCCGCTCTGCTTCCTCCCACCTTCTTGGTGATCTGAATTAGATAAAATCTAGGGGAGGCAGTAATAAGACTTATAAACGAAAAACATCCATTTCACCTTGAATCCTTGTTCATTGCGGCAATATGACCATCATTGTGGCCGTGATGAATAATGATGAATGGATCAACATTTGGTGAGCACAACGGGGTCTTAAAGGATGCGCGAGGGTCAGCACTTGGAGGTTTTCTTTAGAATTGTCATTAATCACATTGACTCGATGCACTCCATAGCCACAGGCTAGTCATGCGGAAAAGTGGGAGGATAAGACAGGACACAGAGACATGATCGAGGTCCGATGCAATGGTATTCGTCTATCCTCGGAGGATTTTCGTCAGACGCACGATCTTCCTGAGGGACCCAAGCACGCCATAAAACTCCTGTTCCAAGCGGCCGCCTTCCGAGTGCTCTTTTTTTGTTACCGCGAGGCCTTTGACGTTCTGCTGGAGAGTTCCCCCATCCACACAATACTATCCTCTCCAGCAGTCCTCCCATCCCTTAACCGAGAAAACCGGGTGTCATGATCGTTTATCGGTACTGCAGGCAACCCTGGGTCAGTTTCCTTGTTCCCACTACTTGACCGAACATCGTCCTGGGTGTTGCGGCCCATGTTGATTCCGCTCGATTAAAACTCACCTTGTTGAAGCCGATATCCTTGGCCTTCTCACGGAAGCACTGACGGCACAGGTTGAGGTCGTACTTTCGGATGAGACCGGCCTTGTGCTTGCAGACGCGGCTACGAGATGTTAGCATCAATTGTTTTCGGTCGATGATTTCGACGCCACCGGGCGCATGGGATTTCGGGCAAAAGAGATATATATTCGTACCAGCTGCGAGAGCCCTTGCCGTAGTTTCGGGGGCGGGAGTTCCAGACGCTTTCGTGAGACATCTTTGCGGTGATGGTTGAAGGCCGAAAGCTCGAAGGGTTGCGGGAGGATTTGAATTCGCGAGTTGGGTTACTGCTGGAAATTTTACTCGACTTCCATTGTGTGCACCTACTAGGGCACAGCGGTTCCGGACTATCAATGACCCGGTGATTCATTGGACCCGCTCTCCTCCACTGGAGCTGTCGAACAAGGTTACCTGGCATCCACTGCAGAACGAACGAACATAAGCGTCTGTTTGCACCCCATTGGCTTAAACTCGATTTCTGCATGAGCTTGAATGTGAGGTGCCATTCCCGATTTTCTGTGTATAATTGTGAGGGCGGCACCGTCTTGCCGCTAGGATCGTAACCCTTTTACACAGCAAGATTGTCAAGGATCGTAAGCGACCTTCTGAGAGCGAGTTGTTCTCAAGAAATATCCGCCAACATTGTACTTCATTTGACCGCCTATATGCACAACGCTGGTTTTTGCTGTGAACCTGTGCAACGATTTCATGCAGAAGCCAAGAATATTTTTGCGTTTATGTAGAAGATCTAACTTACACCCTGATGTTGAAGCTAAAAGAGCCTCGGCCGGGACAATTGTAAGAACCATGGCGCTCTTGTCGCCAGTATGGTATTTCAAGAAGCGCTGAATTGAGATACCCATCTACGTCCTGTTTACGGGGATTCTAGATGGACGTTGTTGTCTGTTTCACAGGTTCTGAATCGCCAAGTTTCCTTCAAATGGCTGCCTTATACTGGTAGAATTTATGTTATAGTTGTGCTGAGGTTCTCATTAACACACAGCATATAACTAAGCCATTGAGTATTCCACAACCAAGGTAGATGGCTATTAATTTATGCAACAAGTTAGTTCAAAGGAGATTATACAATATGGTGAGTGAAGAGAATCAAAGAGAACTTATTAATCAAGGACACTTCATCGAAATAAATGTAATCCAAACTATATGGGCTGTTGTAGGTATGATGGCTGACCAATACAGCTGAAGCTCGCCTTAGCTACTAACCTACCTAGGTACCTAGGTATAGGTCCCGCTTTAAACCTACAGGGATGTCCACCTACACCGGACATTCCTATGCAAGCTGGCATCTCTGGTGGATTTCCAAGCAACTCTCCAGAAACAAGCACCTCTCTGATTCCAGACAGTGCTTTGCTTCATTTTGCTTTTCTTTTTTTCTTACTTCTTTCTCATCCAAAAACAATCGAATCAAGTTCATCATAAGAAATGGTTCTTATCAAGAGTTTCGTGCTGAGCGCCCTTGCTGCCACCGTCGCAGCCAAATCCGCCGTCATCGAATTACTTCCCTCCAATTTCGACGATATCGTTCTCAAGTCCGGCAAACCTACCCTCGTCGAGTTCTTTGCTCCGTGGTGTGGACACTGCAAGACGCTTGCTCCTGTCTGGGAGGATCTAGCCAATACCTACGAGTACGCAAAGGACAAGGTCCAAATCGCCAAAGTCGACGCTGACGCTCAGCGTGAGCTCGGTAAGCGATTTGGTATCCAGGGTTTCCCTACCCTTAAGTACTTCGATGGCAAGAGCAACAAACCTGAGGATTACAAGTCTGGCCGCGACCTTGAGAGCCTGACCAATTTCATCGTTGAAAAGACTGGTGTGAAACCCAAGAAGAAGCTTGAGCTGCCCAGCGAGGTTACCTATCTCAACGATGCGACATTTCCCAAAGCCATTGGTGGCGACAAGCATGTTCTCGTCGCCTTTACCGCTCCGTGGTGTGGACGTTAGTGTTCCTTGCGCCATTCTTTCGTTCAATCTCACTAATATTGACATATTCCAGACTGCAAGAGCCTTGCCCCTACCTGGGAAGACCTCGCCAACACATTCGTAAACGAGAAGAATGTCCTGATCGCCAAGGTTGATGCCGAAGCTCCCAACAGCAAGGCAGTGGCTGAGGAGCAAGGTGTTAAGTCGTACCCAACCATTAAGTGGTTCCCTGCTGGCAGCAAGAAGGCTGTAGCCTACGAAAGTGGACGCAGTGAGCAGGCCTTTGTTGATTGGATCAATGAGCATGCCGGAACCCACCGAGTCACCGGCGGTGGCCTTGATACCGTTGCTGGTACCGTTGAGTCTCTTGACACGCTCGTGGCCAAGATCACGGGCGGTGCTGCTATCGCTGACGTCGCCGAGGAGGTCAAGAAGGAGGTCGAGAACCTCACCGATTCTGCTCAGAAAACCTACGCCGAGTACTACGTGCGTGTCTTTGACAAGCTGAGCTCGAACAATGACTGGGTGTCGAAGGAGCTCGCTCGTTTGGACGGCATCCTTACTAAGGGTGGACTGGCCCCCGCCAAGCGTGACCAGATTCAGCAGAAGACCAACGTTCTTCGCAAGTTTACCCAGAAGGTCGAGGAGAAGGTCGAAGAGATCAAGGATGAACTGTAAAGAACCATGTATATGATAAATGAGATCCGAAAGGAAGTCACGAATTAAAGGGCTTTATGTATTTGGAACTTAGTCGACTAGACTCGACAGGATAAAATCGTAACGAGACACATTAGCACTTCTATTGGCATGTGATGAATCGAAACAACTGAGAAAGCCTAAACACCCTGTATCCCTTATTTGAACTCAAATCTTACGAGGACTTGGTTGGTCCTCCATCTTTCGCCTTGCCCTCTTGGAGAGCTGCTTCCAGATTATCCAGCCTCCGGGACATCTCATCCACTTCACACTATGTTAGCGGGATGCTGCGGAATACGAGCCCTTAGATACTCACTTTTCGCAAAGATTTCTGACGAGACACCAGCAAATTTATTAGACAGAGAATTTAGAAGCTCCTCAACAGCGGCTGTGACATCGGCGCGAGCATCATCAGAAGGCTGTAACAAAGAACGAGTCAGCGGGTGCTGTTGAAACCATACATGAAGGCCTTGAGCCCAATTTAAGAACTGTGCGTGTGACACTACATAAAACGAATGCAGATACGGTTGTCTGAATCGCAGAAGAGTAAGACATACATCTTCAGGCTTGCTGTTGGCTGTGGGATCTGGTTGCGGCTCGTTGCTAGCCATCATGATATTGTGATAGGAGGACGAAGGGATGGGGTATCGAAAGAACTAAACTGAAGAAAGGGAGGTCTATATAGAGAAACACCCAGGTACTCGAAGTAGTCTCTTAAGTGCAATATTTGTCTTGCGAGCGTGTATATGTGCGTTAGTGGTTGTGTCTGGTTTGTTTGATGATGCTGAGCTGCCCCTTATTCATACTGTGCCGGAAAATAGACGGATACGGCATTTCTTTTTAGCACCATCAGCACCTGGCCTCAGCCAACAACCACCGAGATGCGATACGTACCACTTCCATGAACGCCAGGTCTCATAAGTCAAACAATATCTCATGAGGAGAGGCTAACCAGCCACCAATTATCAGCCACCGCCTACAACTACGAACTCATTTCCTCATCACGCTCAATCTCTTCAGTCATTACCATCTTTACCACGTCGTCTTGGGCCGACGACTAACCCAATTTTAGCATGATACAGTGATAGTCGCTCGCTGTCGTGGGCCATCTATTCATCATGCCTCAAGCCCAACACCCAATCGCTACACTGATATTTATCGTTTTCATCGTTTGGCTCGTCTTTCCCGATAGCGACTACTCAAGTCAATCTCTGACTCTTTCCGATCTCGCTGGCGAGAGACTTGATCATTTTCATGATGCTCTGGACGTGCTGAATGCTTCGCGATGGGGCGATTTCGCACCAGTCCCAGGGAAAGACTCCCAGGCGAAGCCATCGTTTTTAAATCTTACGGGGTTTCGTGCGGATGATAACCTCTCCTGGGGCGGTTTGAAAAGGTTCCGCGAGCGGAGTTTGGCCTTCAGCCGACATGCCATACCACCTGTTGGAGAACATAATCTATGGGACAGCGGACTTGGTGAGCCTATCTGGTTGAATGCATCCGGGACTGTTCATGGAGAATGGGTCAGGCCAAAAGGCTCTATCTCTAGAGGATACAACAGCTACAATCTGAGCAAAATTGCTCCTGATATGGACTGGATTGGTGATAATGTGCCTTGGGCGCGTAACATCACTGGTCGCACAGGCCGCATGATGCTGCGCCTAGAAGGGAATCAAACCATCAACGAGTATGAGCAATTGCCAACTGAAAGTAGCGTCCCCGTCGCTGGAGGTCTCATACGGAGTGTCAAGGGCACGACGACTATTGAGGATACCCATGGCTCGGGCCATGACTGGGAAATGAGGCTATGGGGCGTTCATTGGCCACGTCAGGGCGTGGTTTTGATGACCACCACCAGTGAGAAGTTCGAGGGCATATTCGGCTTGCCACACCTTACACCAAGTGAGGATTTCTTCCAGTCTAGTCAGAGGCTACTTAACGAGTCGATCGCTCACACCATTGCGACAAAGAGGGAGAACATATATGCAGACCAGACTGTACCATGGACTTCAGATCTGGAGAACCCTCTATACACTACTAACCCATCGCCACATTGCGAATATGTTATGTATGCGCAAGTCTTTCCACCAAGTCGAACCTACTTCAACATAGATTCTCAGGAATCCTCGCGGGAGGCTTTAGAGTCTGTTATCGACGCTATTGAGTCAGAGTTACAATCACCTGTTGGCGCACCCATCCCAAAGATACCCAAACTCCAGATGTCAGCTATCATCTACTCTCCAGACTGCGGCTTCTTCCTAGAGACCAAAGGACCACCAGATTTTGGGCCAAGTGAGGCCCAGCACTTAACAGGCATGAAGATAGAGGTTCAACTCTACCAAGTCAAAACATGGATTCTTGTCTACGCAATCGTTGTATTTGGTCAGGTCAATCTCCTCAAGAACCAGATGCGCGAGTCTTGCACCCCGTCGACCATGGGTCGAGTGAGCTTTTGGACTATCGCCATGATGCTCATGGTTGACGGCATGACATTCACTGCTGCAGCAACTTGGGTATCATCTGCCGGCGCCACCTTTCTGCCGACATTAGCCCTCTTGTTTGCCGCATTTCTGTCCATGACCATTAGTGGAAGCTTTCTCGCCAAAGTCCATGAAGTTCAGCTTCCTGAAGCCCGGCCTCGACGTGAGCGGGAAGCGAACAACATGGGTGATAACACCAATGGCACCGAACTACCCGCAGCGGCGACTTCAGACAGATCACTCTTGCCAGAGCCTGTGACAGCGCACCAACCGGCCATGCCTCCCCTTCCTCTATCTCAGCAACAGCCTGTCATCGTTCCCTCCGATCAAGATATTGATGCCGAGATTGCTTCTGCAGCAGTCCCTGGCGCCACAACTACGCAACGTGCTGAGGAGGCCCCCCAATCTTTTCAGAGCATCATTGGCCGCATGATCCTCTCCTCCCTATGTATTATATTCCTGGCCATATCTTCTACAACATGGTATCCCAATCTGAGGTCATTGTTCCTGAATCTGTGTGTTCTCATCTATCTATCCCTGTGGATTCCTCAAATTCTCCGTAATACTCGTCGAAACTGCCGCCGAGCTCTTGGCTGGCCATTCGTCGTTGGTCAGTCTCTCTTACGACTTCTCCCCATAGCCTATTTCTGGATCAAAGAGGACAATTTTCTTTATGCTCGCTCGGACCGACATGCGTTCCTTGTCTTTTGCGCCTGGCTTTGGATACAGCTTATCATTCTTGCTGCACAAGACATTATCGGTCCCCGCTTTGGCATTCCTGCTGGCTGGGCCCCTGATGCTTGGGACTACCATCCTGTTCTTCGCGAGGATAGTCTCGAAGCTGGTGGTTTGCCAATTGGCCTGGTTGCTGATGACACACCGGGTATCGAGCGTGCCCGGTCTTCAGGTGATGATGGCAGTAAGAAGCAAAGCACGACGAGGAGTATCGACTGCGCAATCTGTCGTGAAGTCTTGGAGGTACCAGTGCTCACTGCCGAAGATGAAGACACCGGCGTTGCTGGTGTCTTCGCTCGTCGCTTATATATGGTCACACCTTGCAGGCATATATTTCATAGCGCTTGCTTGGAAGGTTGGATGAGATTTCGACTTCAGTGTCCCATATGTCGAGAGGAGTTACCACCGCTGTAACACCCTGAGACGATGAGCATTCTCACTTTTTACACATGGGTGGCACTGTTCAGCATTTGCGCGAATGTGATATGTTTAGGGCCCAGAATGGCATGCATAATAGGCGCTGGATGTACTATTAGAGTCTGTCTCCTAAGAGAGTTCTTGTTGCATTGATAACACAGCATAGATATGGTATTTCAACACATTTCCCAACCTCCGTGAACTCCGAGTCCGAAACACCACCTTCACGAAAGATCATGTCTATATACACGGCTGATAAACCAGTTTATGCAACGCGAATATGAGCGTCAGTACTCCTCTGAACTCGCTACCAGTTCAGCCGAGTTTGACGAAATTTAGAATCGGGGATACCAGGTGGGAGACCGCGAGTGCCAACTTGAAGGTCCGCAACTCGAGTTCGAAGGTCGAAGTCAACAGAGCGAATCGTGAAGCGCTTTTCTTCGGGGACTATTCGTGGTATGGGCCTCGTGATGCCGTCGACATGATACGACTCGACCCCCATGGACAGCGCCTCTGACTCCTCAAGATTCATGACCCATGCACTAATATTCGCAACCATCTCGCTATCCCACATGCCCTCACGGCGGGCACTGCTGCGTAGAAGCTGAATAGCTCGGCGCCTTGTTCCTGGATCGCGACATTTGGTCGCCACGACAAACAGAGGAGCAACAATCCCTATGTCAGCTGCAAACCTGGGCTTGAGATGCGGAGCTGAGAATCCCATGGGCGGGAACAAGTCTTGGCTTTGCCAATTTTCCCGTTGGCGATGTTGGCAGTGCTCAGGATCGGGGCAATCGCGGGATGCGGCTCGCCTCTCTTCGTCGCCGACTATTTCAGTACCAAGATCAACAATTGTCTGAAACTGAGGAAGGAAGTTGTCAAAGTCAGACTCCTTGTCACTGAACATCATGAGGTACAGGATTCTTGAATTCGTGGACAGCATTTTCAGTGCAGCAATGCCTGCTTTCTCCTGAAGGCTGACAGAAGGATTGTGCCGTGTGAAAAACAGGTTGTCGAACGCTTTCCCCCAAGCGTCCAGGTAATGTTTGAAATGAAGACCATAGTCAAGCCACGATTGGGGTAGGGTACTCTTGAGGTCGGTCTTCATGGCGAAAAGCTCCTCGGTGTATCTCATGATTCTAGCATTCAACGCATCACAGGCCACCCGAGCTTCGACAACAGATGTAAAAGTTTCAGGGATCGAGAAGGGCTCCTCTTGCGAAGGGGTAGTTGTGCCACTCGGACCAGGAGATCGTGTTTGCGATTGTGAGCTGAGCCTTATACTGAACGGCTGGGGGAAATGGAATGCCATATCGTAGGACTTTGCTTGAATCGCCAGGCGGGTAAAAATGATAACCAATTCCTCCTCCAGAGAATTTTCGGAAACTGGAGGGAGTCTTTGTCTTTGTTGAGTGCGGAAGATGTCGAGCAGGCCAAGTCCCGTCTGGATCTGGTGAATGGCCTGCCTGTGATCACCGATAAAGGAATCAAAGCAGGCCAGAAGCACATTCGCCATGATCGAGGTCCTGTGTGATCTCTGGTCTTGGGTGTTTAGTTTCACCAAAGCATTGCATGCATCACCATATCTCCTGATGGCAACTTGCCAATGACCCCTGACAAGCTCGACACGGGCGTCACCACCCATCTCCGATCCACTGTGCATATTCAGGGCAGCCGTCTGCTCGAGAGTCTGATACAGAGCACCCAGTGCAATAACAGCACATTTGATGGCATCTTCAGAGTGGCACGCCTGCAATACATAGTGCGTCCAGAAGAGATTGTTGAAGAAGCCAGAAAGCTCGTTAGCAGTGTGTGAGCGGAATATGTCAAAGTAGAAGGATTCATTTGGTTGAATCTGCATAGCGGAGGATGGATGGTAAGTAGTGGGTGACGGTGAAGTAGTCCCCGGGGATGTAGTCCTGAAGATTGATCTTTGATGAGCCCGACGTGGCAGGAGATGGTAGTCGCCGTGGAGAGGAGCAATGGAAGTGCTTGAAGATGCTTGGGCATCGTATGCTGGCATCGGCTTTGGAGCGATCCGGATCTCCTCGAATGGACGGGAACTGCGACTAGGGGGCGGATAGCCTGTGCAGGTTTTGTTGCTTCGAACACATTGCGTACAAGCTGGGCGAGCCTCGTCGCATTTGATTCGCCTTTGTCTATAATGCCACAAAGGTGAGATTTTGGCTACCATTACACCCGAACACGACCGAGGTTGAGAAATAGGGGACAAGGATTGGGGAGACGAACTTGCAATTGGCACATCCTGTCTTGACTTTGGGCTTGCTTGTCCTGACACGCTTTGCTTTAGCTGGAGGGGCTGCTGATGGTGCAACAAGGTCGGACGAAGCTGAGGCAGTCGAAGCGACTGAAGTAGTTTTGGTTGAAGTGCTGGCAGCAGAGACAGATGGGCTTGTGGTGGTAGCGATGCGTTCAGTATTACCGGCACCTGTAATGGGAGTAGCCGGGGTACTGGTTGAAGCAGGAGAAACGTTGCTGCTACTGTAAGAGCTCTCTGTATAAGGAATATCGATGGTGTTGAAAGTGTTGACGCTGGTAGGGTGGGGAACAGAACACGGATGAGTGGTCAGATCAGTTATTGGGAAGATCGTAGTTGTCGATGTTGAAGCAGGTAGTTGCGCCTGTACTTGTGATTCTGTTGTTGGTGTTGCTGCTGCTTGATTCCTTGACGACGAAGAGAACGCATGGTTCATATTTGTAAAGGATACATGCGAGTTTACCTGCCCTTGTGTGTGTGCGTGTGCTTGTGCTCTTCCCCCCGCTCTCTGGGAATGAGACGACGAGGATTCCTCTCTAACCCAACTCTGAGCCATAAGTACACCTAGACAGTAAAGCTTTCTCAGCAACCCAGCAAGTAAGTAGTGATACCTTGAGGTATTGTTTCACCTCGACAGATCACCGCGGCTCCTCACGGTAGCTCTACAACCACACGTTTCCTATCGAACCGTTCTCGGCCGAGAAAACGGAGGAGGGTGGAGGGAAAGGGTAATTTTAGCGGTAGTCAACAATCAGAGTTTCTGCAAGAAAAAGGTGGCAGAGGACTAGAAGCAGCCAGGATAATAAAAGGATTTTAGGAGGGACTAGGAGCAAAGAGTGGACAAGCAAGCAAAAGAAACTAAAGTAAGGCAAGTAAGGTAAGTCGTCACAGAGATGAGCACAGGGCTAAGTCGATACGCATGGAAACGCATCAGGGCAGCCCAACTGTGGCGGATAGTGAGTGTCAGCCCCGGTTCTCGGGCGCAATGAGGTCTTTCTATAGCTCATCACCTTTCCATAAATGCTATTGTGATCCCAGGGGCAGATCAAGCATCCATAGAAAGCATACATTAACAGGCATAGATGGGGCTCATACCAATATCACCGCCACTCCTAGCCAGGAGAAGAGAAAAGAGGCTGAGGCCATCGGTTTCACTGCCGGGGATAGAGACAAAGGGCCTGGGGCAATGTGCTCGACAGCAGATCCATGGAAGTTTGGCGGAGCATTGAGATGGGACAAGAAGTCCAGGGTTCCCTCGTGAGACACAAGACAGTGACTGACTGCACGAGTCGAAACAGAGACGGACTACGGATCGCCGGTGGGTTTCTTCTAGGCATTACCCATATCATCTGCTCTGGTACGGCGGGCTCTGCCAGACTAGGAGTAGCACGCTCTGTGTAACCATCGCTAAGATCAAGCCGTTGCAGGACAGGCGAGACAGCCGCTGCAAAACGCATCGCTCGCTCGAGGACATGGAGGTACCACTGAGGTGTCAGTGACTAGACTACTTGAGAATGTAGAGGTGCGGGTATTGTTTTCCAAGACATTGCCACAGGCGCCAGGGTGCTGAAGAGGTACCGAAGTGCGCATAAGTGGTGCTTATGGGAGTTTTGACCATTTCCAGCTCAGAATCCGTGATAGTGAGTGGATTGGGTGGTGAAGATCCATGGATGGAACTTGTGGTGGTGGTACATCGACATACTCCCCGAGATGAGTGCGACATTGTGAGTAGGTGAGGGTGAGTATGTACATAGGTATGAACATGCAGCGCGAGTCCCGTCAGTCTGTGCCTGTGCCTGTCTCCTTTGAGCAACTACAGGACATGGATGGCTTGATTAGACTTGGCCTTTGGGACAACCGGGGACAGGCCCGGACCCGTCCCATCATGAGCCTCGGGACCTCCCCTCCCCAGCGCCGCTCTAGTGCATCCTTTTGGCGCCCCCAGAGCTTGCTTCTTCTTTGGAACGAGACTTGTTCGCCCAATAGGGACTTGACATCTGACAGGGGGGCGCTTGTGCGTTCCTGTTGTTGGTCGAACAAGGATGGCTAGGCCGTCCTAAGATGGATTGACGCTCAGCAACTCTAGTCTCTGCAGTTGCAGGGCTGTTAGGGGCGCATTTAGCGCGCTGGCGGTGGGGGACAAGGGCATCTGACATCTTGTTTCTTTCCCATGTCCATCATGGGTGTTCCTTGATCGAGCAAGCCTTCATGTTGGTGTTGGTCGATAACTCCATGTACTGATGTGATTCTCCCAGCTGTGTTTGGGGGCCCAGCGAGTTGGGTCAGCGCTGTAGCACTAGGGAAGATGTCTGATCTTGGCATCACAACATGTAATATCTCCGATGCATGTCCGTTGTGGGCACGATACATGCAAAGATTCCCTAAAATCCTTTTCAGACAGTATGTACAGCACTCCAAGGTGTTATTACCGGTCTCTTTCCGTTGAACCCGTTCAACAGCCCGTGGCTGACTTGGCCGATGTTTAGTGGGTTCTCAAGCTTCCAAGCTTGGTCGCTGGCAAGTAATTTTCAAGTACTTGGTAGACCATGGAATTTACAGCATATTGGCTCCCCGAGGAGGAAAAAGCAAAACTGACAGCACAGCAAAGCACAGTTCTGCAATTCAAGAGCATGTTTCACTTTCTCGTTATCGTTTGTGGATCTCCTTGTCATCAGCCACCGACTGTTTCTGTGTGCCCTCTCTACATAGATCTCTACAT